TTAGGGATTAGGCTAACTAGGCTGGATGTGATGCCTTGGAGGTGCCTTGTGGTCATGAATAGTTAGTTAATCCCCCTTTTGTGATGCCTTGGAGGTGCCTTGGGTCGGATTACACTAACTGTTTGGAAGTTGAAACGGAATTGTTTCAGAAATGGTGAGCGACATGGGCATGGCATTGCACTTCATTAGCATATATGGTGTATTTGTGACTTGGATGACATTGCGTTTATATTTGACGTTGTGGATATGAATTACATCCCTGGTATAGTATGATCCCGTTCTCTTGATTTCTATTCTATACGTGGATTCACGGGCTCATAAGAGTTGTGTCTTAGATACCTCCTACTGAGCTTAAGCTCAACCCATTATTTTAACATTTTTCAGGTTTGGGAAATGAAGTAGCGGACGACATTTCTCCACAGGTTTTGATGGGTTAGTGGACTGTTTGACCTATTTTGTAGCTATAATCCATATTATTATTATTATTATTTATAAACCCTAGGATGACACGTATATTATGTATTGCTATAGGAATGAATGGTAACGTCTTTTGTTGACCTCGCGTTTGGGTAAGGACCCGGTTAGTGATTTGAACCCTCGGGTTCGGGTCATTATATAAATAGCAAATCATTTGACGGAACTTTTGGGATAAATTAGATTGACAAATTATACATGAGTGAAGCGTTTGATCTTTATTACTTTAACCTCCCTAAAATATTTATAATATCCGTTTTACCGTCACCCAACCATTCATCATCAATTATCAAATCTTCAAAGAACAACAAGAACAATCCCATTGAAAAAACCTTTATTTGTTGTGCATTAAGGCAAAGGATGAAGAGACAATATATGTATATATACCCAAACACACACACACAAGCATGGATATACTGCGGGCTCAGAGGGGGCATTCGCCCCCACTGAAATTATTTGTTTTACATTTTATACTCTTAGATTTGTATTTTTTTGCATTTATGTCCACATCCTTTCTATATAAATTTGCCCTCCCTCATATGAATTTCTAAATTCATCTCTGCACACACATACATATATGTATAGATGTATAGGTGTTAGATTCACTTGTATATAAATACATATAAATGTCAGCGAGAAAGAGAAAATCCTAATGGAGGCTATGGTTCCAGATTGATTTGTACGCCGTGGTGGTGAGCGATGGTGTGGGGGAGCAAGTGGGTTTCACCAAAAAAATAAAATAAAATAAAATTTGAGACTTGGGTATGTAATTTTACTTGGTCTTGTAAAGGTATTTCAATACACGTAATGGTGGGTTTAAAACTTCTAAGGCTATTATTGTCTTTTCTTAAAAGGTGAGGGTAATTTCGTCATTTTATGAAATTTTGAGAGAGAGAGAAAGGGGGAATCATAAGAACACACACCAAATTTTAAGGGAGGTCAAAGTAAAAAAGGTTAAACGCTCCAACTATGTGTGATTTGTCCAAATTTCAAAAGAGGTAAATGTAATTTATCCAACTTTTTGATAGACTTCATCTTTTGGAGGGTTTCAAGATAAAATATTATTCCCATTTTGCAGGCAGGCCCACACTCAACAAACGGAGAATAGGCCCAATCCATACTCGGCCCACAAAAGAACTTGCCTTAGGGTCCTTAAACCGAAACACGTGTTGATCGGATCATGGTAAAGCCTAAACTATATAAACATATTGATCAGATCATGGTAACCCAAACTATGAACTTACTACATCTTATGGGCATGACTTTGATGTAGTCGATTACAGGTGGATCCTTCCATTGCTTCGTATTAATAAATTATATCATACTAACAGTACGACGAGTGCTATAAAACCTGTTCAAAAATTCTCATTCCATTTGCTCCCAACTATCAATCGATTCAGGTTTCAAGTTGGTATACCACTCGAACGCATTTCTTTAAAAGAGTGGAAAAACTGTTTGACCAGTAATCTCCCTCAGTTCCGACATTGTTTCAAGTTTAGACAAAATGGGTAATGTGTTGACTGGGGTTGCCCACTGCTGAATCTTCATAGGTTGGTATTCCACTGGTATCCTCATACTGTCAATTCTCTTTTTTTAGGGCTTTGAGTACATAAGAATGCTTTTTGGAGACACCTCCATATTGTGCTCAGATCGTATTCATTGTCATAACCTGCAATTGCTCGAAAGATAATGAGGAGAGTGGAGAAATATGATTGGTTTGGCCAGTCGCTTGTTCTATCACGAGCGTATGTTCGGGGTCTTCTGTGCGAGTACCTTGTGCCGCAGAATTCGTAGAATCCCCAGACAGTTGTGCCGATTCGCCAAACATTTGAGCTTCCAATTTGTTCATCAGTGTAGTGATCTGCAAGTCTTCTCTTCAACAGTCCTTGTGAGGTTGCTAATCGCATGTGTCGTCATTGCTAGTTGGCCTTCCACCGTGTCTATTTCAGTTATTATAGCAGCAACAACATCCGAATAGGAAAGACCTTGAGAGTCAACGTTCTTTGAAGTGATTGATTATTCTGAAGCCTCACGTGGTGACTCCGAGGGTGAACCTACGCTAGAGTTGGCATTAGAGATAGAATAAGGTGAATATGATGACAAAGCCCTTTTTCTAGGGCAACGTTAGAATTCTTAACCTTCAAGGCAGCAAGGGTACTGATTGTCACGACCCGACAATTCCAATAAAATTCTCCATTTATTCATATACAAATACATCAAAATACACCCAGGATCAGAAAAATTGCCCTCTCTTTTATACAAAGTCAGTTTCCTCAAATACACAAAAAAAATCTCCAAATAAAAAAAAAATTCCTGCCACGCTAACTCTTCAACCTAAGCCCGAATCTAGCAATTCCCGTCCATCTTCGGTACCTGAAACTGGGAGGGGATGAGACAAGAGTCCCAGTAGGAAAAACCATAACAAGAATCTCATGGAGGTTTAAATAAAACTGCTTCACAAAACGTACATAATCATGTGAGTATATAGACAAAATAAATATGCATTTAATCAAAACATTTAATAAAACATTTAATCAAAACCTCCCCATGCCATTCAAGGTATAGAGAACCCTACTTTGAAAATGAATTATCTCCTCACTGGATCATCAAGCTTTCATGCTTCCGTTGTGGCCTCTGCAACTCTCGACCCGCTGTCTTCCCTCAAAACTCACTGTCTATATTTAGGCTTTCTCACTCTCTTTCTTTCGGTCACTGTGTTTTCATAGTGCACAACCCCTGCAATTTATAATAGCCTCACCTACAAAAAAGATATCAATATGAAGGGATAATGTACTGCCAACCACTTTTTGCTCTCCACTTTAATTTTCCTGATTTCATCTTATTTTCTACTCTTTGATTTGCGATATACAGACAACACACACTTCAACAGCCCCACGTGAACAAACCAAGGTCAAAAAGGTTGCCCAAATAAAATCCTAGTGGGACCCGCAAATAAAAGCCACAATTTCTGTCGGCAGCTGCTAGCTTCCTCTATCAGACAAGAAACATAAATATATACATATACAATGTATACAAAACCAAATCCCATTATCACTTTAAATATCAATCTTGTGGGTCCCATAAAAATATCATTACACTACCTTTTCCATTTCCAATTTCGCTGCTCCCTCCTTCTAGCTCCATCAGACAATCTATATATGTAAATATATCCTATAAAATGAAACAAAACAATAATTCCTTAAACATCATTCCCTGTGGGCCCCGTGAAATAACCATTTTCCATTCAATTCTCTTTCTCTCAATCTCGCTACCAGCACCACACTAGTCTATAAGATTGAATCACATGTATATATATATATAAACCCATAACTTTATCTCTTTGAATTCAGCAGGTGCATCCCATTGCTTCAACTGATACACTAAATATATATAACATATATAATCATGCTTCGGGAGAAAATCAAACCAATAAAATCTCATGTGGGTAAAATCTCTAAAATAGATTAAATATAAATCATAGTCTCCAATTTAATAATCAATAACCCAAATCTCTAATTGGCAAGTCTTTAATTAAAACAAAAGTTAATGATGACAAATGAAATAAATAAAAATTCATCTCTTAAAAATTTGGGTTGTCACACTGATATGGTTAAGTTTTCATACTCGATAGTTTAGCAGGATTGGTTTTTACCTAATCTTGTTGGTATTTGGATATCTTGATTGTCTGGGACTTGCTATGTGTCACATGGCCTATCGAGGAACTTCCATAGTTCGACGGGTTCTTAGCCTTTGTGCCATTTTTCGCAACAGCTTTAACGTTGGCCTTTGAGGCATCGATGTTCCTTTGAGCATTCTTGTTTGTTTGAACCTAGGGAGAAGACATGGATATTTACGAAAAGGAGTCTTGATGATTTGATGGAGGAGAAAGAGATGAGAGGCACAAGAAGTCCCATCGGGCGCGCTAGAAAATTTTACACACAAATTTCGTATGTACAAATTAAGAACGAAATATGGAGCAAATTATAATTTTATTGATTTAAAAAAAAATTAGTACAATACTCTAGGGTATTCTTTACAGAAGAAAGAATTTGTTCTCTAATTCGATCTCCTTTGTTGGTCTGATTCAAGGGTTGTTGAAACTTGATCTTGAATTGGACTGTTGAAAATCTTTTTCAAATACTTGTAATTGAGGAAGACCGTCAACAATTTCTAATCGAGGGTTGTCCAAGTTTGATCTCGAATAGTGTTATTTGATGATTCTTTGAATTTGTCAAAACTTAAAGAAAAACGGCATAACTTTGAATGTGCTTGTTATTCTTCGCCTTCTTGTTAAATCTTGAAGAAGAACGACACAATTTTGGATATGTTTGTTGTTCTTCTCGTTTTTAGAATCTTCAAATTTATCGAATTTGAATTAAAAAAAAAAAAAAAAGGGGGATGATTTTGGATGTGCTTAATGTTCTTCTTCTTCAAGGCTTGGGTGTTGAGAGAAGACGCAGAGAAATTACAAAACCTCTGCCAAATTCGTACTTTCTCACCCACTTTTTTTATCATAAAACTTTAGCTGACCATAACTGTATTGTAAAATTATCCCTTTTAAGCAATCTATTTTCAGAGAGAATTTAGCAGTTTATTAAGAAATAAAGACACGAAGACGAACACTCATATCTTACAATCTTGCCACTGGTTCATACTTAATTCTCCCCTTTCCGACACAAACCCTCATTTTTCCCTTTGAACATCAAGTTCACCGGAACTGTCAAAACTTTGAACCGAGACCTCGCTTGTTGAACGGTGATAAAGATTTTCTCAAGGTGTCGGAACACAATGTGAGTGATTGTTGTTGACTTCAGTCGGACCAGAAATGCAAACCTTTTTAGTACTGGAGCTTGGAGATTTCAAAGCAGCCTCAATATCTTTGCTATCTGGGTCTGCAAATTTAAGATAATTGTCAACATCTTTGGTGTCTGAGCTGCCAGTTCTCCGATGGTACCATTTTCGGGATGTTTTTTGCCTTCTGTCGCTAATTGCAATGGCAATGTCATTTGGAAAGAGATCTCGGAGCACGATGGCATGGAAGATAGTTGTTACAAGCAGTGCTGTTACTGTGAGTGTGGCAACGATACAAAGCACAACAGAGAGACATTTAGTGACTATGTTCGTGACCTCGTTTGTGTACTTGATTGTTGAAATTGCAGCTCCTGTCATTGGAAAAGTGTAGGCCCACCACGCCAATGAGAACCTGTAAAAACAGTGAAGAAAATGAACTTGAGAATATAAATGCAAAAGAGGAATGGGATGGTAGTTTCAGATGCCAAATATGTAAGTCGTACAATACCTGAACCCTCGAAAGAAATTAACCCGAACAACCTGTAAAAAACAGAGAAAATAGCCGCCAAGTTAGAGCCAGCAACCATAACGAAAAGAAGTATTACTTGTGTCAGTGATAGAGGGCTACAACTTGGTTCAATTTACCATCAACTGGAAACAGAATTTATTAACTTCATTTCCCATTTTTCCAGTAAGGTCCCAATGTTACTCCAACATTGAAACATTCCCTTTTCAGCTACATTAAATGGGAGGCTTCACTAAATGATGTGGGTTGCTTTTTGTTCCCTTCAAGCATTTTTGACTCAAGGCATTAGCCCACTAATAGCATGCAATCGGTTTGAGTGGAAAATGTACAAGGGCCTCGGAAACCATGTCTAATGTGAAGTTCTTTCTAAGGAGGTTTTACAAATCTTATCCCAGTAATTTAGTAGCAACCTGCGAAGCTAAAACATAATTTTGGTGCCCACATAAATAAAATACTGCCAAAGTGTCACATATGAACGGATCCTAATGTGCCTGGCTGAGATTTTGGGAGGAGGATATCATTGCAAATAATGTATGTGTTTAAATGGCAGAGAGACTAACCAGAGAGAAATAGAGGAACAAGGCAATGAAGTAAGCGATTCGCGAGCCATAATCAAACGAGCCTTGAAGATTTGCCCAAGCCATCGACGCAACGCTGGGTGCTGCAACAAACAGAAAGAACACAGGATGGAGCTCCTTAGGGAGTGTCTCATTTGTTGGAAGTCTCTGGTAGAGAGTTACAAATAAGACAGTGTAGTGAGCCAATCCAACAGCAAAGAAGAATAGGGGTCCTTCTTTTAGTCCCATTGATGCACCTAGTAATGCTCCGACGAAATTTCCAACAATGGCGAGATGGTTTGAAGGATTAGCCACCTTTGAGAGCCTGCGCTGTCCTCCTGACATCCACTGTCCATAGATCTTAAGGTCTAGACATAAGATTGGTATCATTAAAATGTACCAGAGAGCTGCATGCAGGTTTTGAGTAACATAAGGTGGAACTCCAAGAGCTACGAACAAAAAGGCTATCCATGGGGCAAAGAAGAAGTTAACACGGACTGGGTGGTAGTACTCACGACGGAATGCTTCAAAGTAGAAAATCACTTTCAGAGAGTAAATGAAAGATACAATGGCGACCAGAGCAACAGATATGCACCACAGTATGAGGTTTACATACAGGCTTACATGGAGGAACTTCATGGAAGCAGAAATGGCCAACATTTTCCACATTATGGCTTGGCTACTTATGCCAAGGCAGATACCAAATGAAGAGATGGGAAAGCGAAGAAGAAATGGCCATTGCTTGTCGTCTGGAAGCAGTATTTCCTCTGAAGGCTGTAGAAGAGAGAGTATATATCACGTCTTCCAAGTTTCAAATATTGGCAAATTTATATCAATGTTCAATAATGGTTAAGGTGAAAGAAACAAAATCACGTAGCCAAGTTCAACAATGTTAGACTTGGACACTCAGCACAGAGGTATATAGAACGTGCATAGTTTTATATATTACATTAATTCATTTAGGTATATGTAATAGAAGTAATTCATTAAAACATACATAAATCTCCAAGAAGAAGTCTCCTTTTTTGGGTAAAGTAAAACTCCTTGCTTACTCAAAAATGAAGTTATCCAGTAGATGTCTACAGTAGGTGATGGGAATTATGAAAATTGCAAGATTTGTTGGACTCAAAAAAATCCAGGAAAAACAAAACCAATTTCACAGAAGGGTAGGAGGGTAGAAAGCACATACCCGAAGGGTATCCAACTCTGGCCCTTCCAAGGCATCAAAGTATCGATCTGCAGGTAAAATCTTCTTCTCCACATTCTGAGACATGTTCGCTTCTGACCCACTTTCCCTTTTCGATAATTGTCGTTTCCCGGACCATGTTTTGAATGAATCAAATCTGTTATCCTTCAGTCTATCAGCCCTTGGATTCCTTGGCGGAAGTTTTGGACGGTGGGGAAATTTTCCATTTCTAACTGCCTCATCAAATGCAGATCCTGTAGTTATGGACTCTGAGAGAATTTTTGCCTGATTTGCCACCTTGGAGCCAGCAGTATTCGATGAAACAGAAGAATTTTCAATATCATTGTTAAAAATTGTTTCATAATCATTGAAGGGAACTGATTTACTGTTCTGCAAATGAACATCCATAGGAGAAAACGGCATGCTGAGAGAAACAGAATGCATTCCCTGGTGCTGGGAAAGATCAGTCTGCCTTTCAGAAATTTCTGCTCCAGTTCCCTATTGCAATGAAAAAGAAAATATTAAGACGGAGAAACACTCTACCAAATAGATAGATCCAAATTGGGCAACAAAAAAAGCAAAAATTTTCCAACTTATGCAAATAACAACAACAAACAAAGTACTGCACAGATTGACATAATAGATTTTAAAAAGCAGTCTGAGTTTATGTTAAAATCCAGAGTAGGTACTTGTTGTAAGTAGATTCTGGTACTGAAAAAAACAAAAAAAAAAAAGTAGAACAGGATTTAACTTATAAAGTAAATATAAAACAAGGCCTATGCTAGTCAGGCCTAGCCTTTGGCCTTATTTTGCACAAAGAGCCTGCTTTCAAACATGAATCCACATTCTCACACTTCTCGGCCCGGATTTTACCATTCCCCCAAGTAAAGTCACTTTCCACTATTGTGTTTGGCGCCAAAATTAAATCAAATCAGCAGGATGCAGACTATAAAGAATTAAATTGGAGTACTCAGAGGAAAATTGTTTGACCAAATTTGCAAATTTATCCAAGTTTTGCATTAAAATTTCCCAATTTGAACTTAATCTAATTCAAGTGTAAATAATTTCCCAGAACAGGCCCCCATTTATCTTATTTTTTGAGCTTTGACTGTATGAAAGAAAACTGCTTGGATACTTCTTATGCTGCAAATTTAAACAAGTTGATTCCTCTTATTGTGAGTGTGATAGGAATCATCTCAATTGTAATGGCAAGTCCTGAAAATTGCCCGAGTTCCAAAGTCTCACTCCCAAAGGTGAGAGTTTTACAGGTTTGCTTTGTGCGGATCCGACTATATTTCTTTTTTCTTTTAGGTTTTAAGAACATTAATACGATATCATGTACGTAGTATCTAAGAACAAAGCCTTAGAAACATAACACCTCCCTGTTGCCATTTATAAAGGTAAAGAGAGTGCTATCAGAGTTCATGATGATGCAATAAACAGAGGAAAATAAAGTGGTAAGTTAATATTGTTAGAAGTTAATACAAACTTAACTTCACTGTTATCTCTTCTGGTAGTATTTGAAATTAAAATAAAGCGGTAAGCACCGTATGAAAGCTCAAACTAATGTCAATGAATGAGCTTGCCATAAAAATTAGTCTTGGACCACGAGCCATCTCAAGTTTCACTCATGATGTGTCCAAGAGCTACCTCAGGTAGCTCAGCTTCTATACCAGCCTAAAAAGAAAGATGTCCTCAAGAAAACCACGTCTAAGGACAAACCCATGTTTACATAGATATACTAGACCATCAAGAACAGAACAAGGATTAAAACTTACGGCAGCTGAGAGACTGAAAGAATGGAAGCCATTTGGTTGAAACTGATTATTCAAGCAACTCTGTCCTTTAACGCTATCAAACCCGGCCACTTCATTTGCATTTACAAATTTGATGAGTGATGGAACCACTTCAGGGGAATCCTGCTCTGCCAAACCCTGATGTTTGCTGTTTTCCATCATAAAGCAACTATACCTACAAATTAAACGGTTCAGTTATACAGGGTGGTTGTAATAATTAAAGAGAAAACACTAGATGCTGCTTTAAAGAAATGAAGATACAGTATGCATATTGGACATATCCGTGTTAGCTGTCATAAAATCGCACAACAACTCTCCTCTATACCAGTATACCACTCCTCACAAGAAAAATATGAACTTTCAATTTCATCTTCCTTTTTGCTTTGTTTGATAGAAATGATTATACATGTCTTCCCTAGATCTAACAAGTATTTAACCCCATCCAGTGTATCATCTACGTGCAAAGCCATCTCATTCAAGGTAATACTTAAAATAACCAGTGTCAAGTAATCTCATAATTTTAGATACGGTCAACAAAGTAAGCCTATTGTGGCAGAAAGAACATGTGGAATTAGATTATATCTGGCATACAGTTCAAGAAACAGTATGCATTTTCTGGTAGTATTCTATTTGAAACGAGAAAGATCAATTGGTGACACTCCTAACAGGGCAGATCAACATCTAAACTAATTCAAGCACTTTATGACAATATCCTCATTTCCATCTCATGCTACCAATATATTTTCGTTACCAAAAAAAAAAATTTGTTACATAGATGACGCTAACACAAAAAAATTCAGAAGAGGAATATTCACATAGTTTGGTGCAATCCAGAAATGTAAAATAAATCAGTCATCACAGTTCACATGACAGTATTACAGAAAAGGGAATCTCTTAACCGACTTATTTTAGATACATAAACATGCTTTTCATTTAATCATTTCCGCGGCTTTGAACTACCGGACAGAATAGATTTCTGATGTCCCTTCTGCAATAAAAAGTTTTGAAAGACATTAGCGTGTCAAAGGAAGCAATCTATAGACTCTGAATTGTACCTTCATCTCTATAAAAGATAAAGTATTCACAATATCCGGTACGTACATAAAGATGATCAAATCAGTAAGTACATGCCAAAAAATAAGTAATCCAAATTTTAACCTTATAGCTAGCTACTGATAATGTTAAAAGCAATTTATACCTTCAACACCAATAGCAATCTACCAAGCAAGCAGCTCTGCAGGTTGATCAATGATCCAAATTCAGCGGAAGCACCAAAAAACAGTATACTCTTCTCTTCACTGGAGACAGCAACTTATAAGAGAATTCTCATCAAATACTACTGTTTTGGGATAAGCATTGAGTACAGGGTGACTAAGTGGGAACTCCACAAGATCCAGAGAACACATGCCGACCAACCATAGCACTTATTATACATTGCGTAAATCACACCACGTTTAATAAGTGCAGGCTGCTTTATGTGAAAATGACATATTGATTCAACCGATATACGACGAAATAAAAAGATCTTTGGTAAGGTGAGCAAAATAACTAGAGGGCTTGAAATTTTGTCAGCACTAGTAATTTTCTATGTTTTATGCTTTAATGAACAACTCAGATTTGACAAAATTCATAACACAAACTACGATTGGAATTGTATGTATAGGAAACGCACATGTATAAGTTAGAATTGAGTAGTGATTACAAAAACAACTGATTAACGCAGTAGCAAAATATCAAGAAAATATGCTGTAATGCTTCAAATAGGAAAAAGTAAAAACATAATTAGGAATTATTATTACAAAAATTCTCCTTCTTCACAAAAACATGTAGATTTATAATTATAAAAGCAAAGAGATCGTCATAATTGTAAATTTCATGGAATTGTGGGGTGGGTGAAGCATTTTTTCTACTTTCCCCTTCAATGTAAAATTTTTACTTCATTTACAGAACAAAGTAAATAAGAATAGAACTTTTATTTTATTTTACACTCAGTAACAATAAATCAAAGAAGAAGAAACAACTGAAAATATTTTAACCTCAACATTTCATAACTAATAGTTTTTAAGCACTCAGGTTGATTTGATACCATAAACTTCCGATAAAATTTTGATCATAGAGTTTACTTAATAATGGGATTAACAAGACAAGCACTCAGATACATGGATGGGTCCAAATATGTTGGGTGATATTAACAGCTGAAAATATAAATAGGAAGATAAGCATCATGAATTAGATATTTAAATGCAATGCATTTGGCAATACCAATAATTCTGCCAAACCAAATGAAAATTACTCGGAATTCAAATTCAAATCATACAAAACGGCTTGTTCTTGATTACCTCAAAATCCTCGACTATAATTAACGTGAACTAATCCGTCTCCCCACCTGTCAATTTTGGAGACAGCCTAGAACATGAACACGAGATAATCATCAACAACCACATCAATGACTCAAACATGTAATAATGCAAAATTTATATAGATCAGTAGCAGAATAGTAGTCCCCACATACAGCAATGACAAGCTCATGATTAATCAACAAGTGGGGTTCCCCAAAACCTGATTTTCTTTTGGCTGTTGCTTAAATTGGCAAATTTAATACTTCTATTAATCAATCCAGTAAAGAATAATCTATTTTCTAAATTAATCCATTAAAAGTGTAGAAAAGGCTTGTTGAGCTGAATCCAACCGGATTCAAGCTGGACACTCCCAGAACTAAATCCCACGAAATTTCCTTTGCATACAAAAGATTATATATATATATATATATATATATATATATATATAATAGTGTGTGTGTGTGGGTGTGTGTGTGTGAAAGATCATAATGGGAGAGACATTGTTCAAAAGGCAATGGTGTTGGTGCAAATCTGACTCGATTATAGCTCCAGTTGACCTAATATACCTAAATTCCAACACTTGGAGTAACCGTACAACTGGGAACGAAAGTAGGTCATCGTCAATGCAAGGAAAAGACCATTATTCAGTGCTGAGTTGGATTACATTATAACTGTTTGGTTAGTAAGAAACCGCAAGAAAATCAAAGAGAATAAGAGAAACCGTAACATTTGCACGTCGAGTATCTAACTAGATCGATATCTAGACTTGCTGTCTTTTCGATAGGGTAGTCATTGATTTCCGATCAGAGTACAAAACTTTTACGATTTGTTTGGTTGTCGAGAAAATAACAGAAGGAAAAAGAATCGAAATTAAATTTGAGAGAGCGGTGGGACCAACAGTGAATTATACGACCATTGGGAAGAAAAGTCAGATTTGGATTTGACAACTTTGGCGCCATGGACACGTGGTTGGCGGACCGTTTGTCTTTTCCCGCAAGTCGGGCGTTGGGTAGTGGGGACCACTGTGGTGGTACTAGATTTGATGGTCCATCTTCTGACTTCTATCACGGCATAATCTAACCTGGGCCTGATATGATGAAAGCAACCACTAAAGATTTTACGTGTCGTGGTCTCGGCACTACCTAGTCCTCCAGCTAACATATACTCCGTATAATATACTTACGAGTACATCAAAGTGTTTAAAGTTCAAGTAAATTAAAAAAGTTACTTTCGCGTGGTTTATAATTCTAAAAATAATTGTGAATAATTTATAATTTTATTATTAGAGAATAATTTTTTATAATTTTATAAAAATGTCTATTTTTATGACAAATTTTTAAAAAAGTAAATCCGATAGAGTTTTTTTTTAAGAACAAAAAAAATTATTTTCGTACTTGCAAATAAGTATGCCATTTTATTTTATTATGTTAAAAAGGCCTCAAAGTGTTTAAAATTCAAGTAAATCAAAGTTACTTTGTTGAATATTTTATTATGTTAAAAAGTGCCCTTATGTGTATTTTAATATTTGGTTAAAAAAATATTATAAACTGAGATAGTGTAATACTGATTTTGTATGATACATTCGGTGGACGGCATTGTGACACGTCAAGAATTAATAAATGCATTGACGTCCTCAAAGTTGAATTGAGCCTTCTTCTTTTTATTATTATTATTATTATTATTAGTTTTTTGTTTTGTTATTGGCCAGATACACTCACTTACGTTTTAAACATGGATCATTAGACTCTATTGTTTTTTATTATTCTGTTAACAAAAACACATACTTTTAAGTTCTAAATTTTTAATGTGTTTAAAAAGGAATATTCATAAAATTAAAAATTGAGGACGTAAAAGTTTAGTACTGAAAATGCTGAATAATTTAAGCTGATTGAATTTTGTAAAAGAGAAAACTTAATGAAAAACATGTAAATTGGGATTTAAGTTTACAATGTATACTTAATATTGAAGGTAACTAATTGCATATGTTATGATATTGAAAACGCAAAGTATAATGTTATTAACGTCATTGTTTGATGCAATGTTAAAAATCTTATAATAAGCATGAATAATTGAATACACACGTTTTGCTTTAAGAGTAATCACTACTTTTTAAAATAATCCTAAAGATTGAATTTATATCTAATCTTAGTCCCACTAAATTTTGAGAGCATTGTTGGTTGACACGGTTTCTTTGATTAATTATTCAATATATTATTTTCCTTCACTGTGTGGTTGTAGCGTGTAAAAAGCAATTCATTTGATGGTCCCTTTTTGTAAACTTACATTGTAATTGGAGGATATTTGAGTTAATATATTATTCCCATTTTACAGATGGGCCCACACTCAACTAAGGGACCTGTCATGTCAGACAGCTAAAAATAGGCCAGGATAATGTTTGGGTGTGAGAATAGGTCCAATCCATACTCAGCCCACAATAGAAAAGAGCCCTAAGGCCCTTAAACCTAGCCCCGCATAAACGGGCGGTGAACACATATTTGGTTGGATATATGAACATTTACTATATATTGAAAGTGGGTATTTGTGTGTATATCTATACTATTATTAAATGTGCAAAGTGTTTCAGTATTTCAGTATTTATTTATTTATTGATATAAAAAAATATTAATTAATTGATATAAAAATAGTTTTTGTAAAAATAGTTTCTATAAAATTATAAAAATTACCTAATAAAAATAATCACATTCTATATAAAACTCTTATTTTTTGTTATTTTTTATGGATAATTATAGTTTCTATAAAACTCTAAAAATTATCTAATAAAATCAATCACATTCTATATAAAACTCTTATTTTTACTTATTTTTTATGGATAATTATTACAATATAACTGGCGCGGCCCGGTTATGATTATGTCATTATCAGAAAAGGACACATGTCATCATCTTATTCATCCAAGAAGCCTATAAAGAGAGGCATGGAGGAAGGTGGAAGAGGTACAGAAATTGAGAATTCTAGAATTCCAGAGTAAAATACAGAAACTCTGCGAAAGAGTTTCAGTATTTCAATATTTATTTATTTATATAAAAAAATATTTATTAATTGATATAAAAAAGAGTTGAATTCTGAGTTTTTATCTATACTATTATTAGATGTGTAAAGAGTTTCAGTATTTATTTATTTATATAAAAAAATATTTATTAAATGATATGAAAAGAGTTTTTACAAAAAATAAATAAATAAAATAAAATAAAATAAACTCTATAAGACACTAAAATCTACATAATAAAATTTAAATTAACCTATTTATCTATTTATTATTATAGATTTTTTAATAAAAGAAAATCTAATTAGACAAGATTTATTAATATAAAAATATTTATTAATTCATATATAAAATAAAATAATTTTTATAAAACTCTACCACAAATTAGCTTTTATTATGAGTATCTTAATAAAATTAAATCTAATTAGACAAGTATATATTTAAAGAAAATAAAATAATTTCTATAAAACTCTATTACAAATTACTTATTTTATTATCAATAAAACTCAATCAACAAAGATATATTTAAAAAGTTTCTATAATACTCTTACACAAATTACCTATTTATCAATTTGTTATGAGTTTTTTAATAAAAAGAAACCCAATTAGACAAGTATTATTAATATAAAAAATTATTTATTAAAGGATACAAAAAAAGGTTTTAATAAAACTAAATCTAAGTAGACAAGAATTATTAAAATAAAAAAAATTATTAATTGATATAAAAAGAGTTTTTAAAATAGTTTATATTAAACTCTAACACAAATTACCTATTTATTTATTTAGTATAAGTTTTTTAATAAAAGAAAATCTAATTTACCTAATAAAATCAATTACATTCAAAACTCTTATTTTTAATTATTTTTTATGGATAATTATAGTTTCTATAAAACTCTAAAAATTACCTAATAAAATCAATCATATTCTATATAAAACTTTTATTTTTAGTTATTTGTTATGGATAATTATCATAATATGACCGGCCCGGCCCAGTTATGATTATGTCATTATCAGAGAACATATGTCATCATCCTATTCATCCAAGAAACCTATAAATATAGGCATGAAGGAAGAAGGAAGAAGGAAGAAGGAAGAAGGAAGGGGTACAGAAATTGAGAATTCTATAAATCTAGAATTCTAGAGTAAAATATAGAAACTCTGCCAAAGAGTTTCAGTATTTTAATATTTATTTATTTATATAAAAAAATAGTTATTAATTGATATAAAAAGAGTTGAAGTCCAGAATAAAATACAGAAGCTCTGTCAAAGAGTTTCAGTATTTATTTATTTATATAAAAAATATATTTATAAAAAAATATTTATTAATTGATATAAAAAGAGTTTTTATCTATACTATTATTAGATGTATAAAGAGTTTCAGTATTTTTTTATTTATATATAAAAATATTTATTAAATGATATGATAAAACATTAAATTCTACATAATAAAATTTAAATTAACTTATTTATCTATTTATTACTATCAATTTTTTAATAAAATAAAATCTAATTAGACAAGAATTATTAATGTAAAAAATATTTATTAATTGATATATAAAATAACATAATTTTTATAAAACTCTACTATGGGTTTCTTATTAAAATTAAATCTTATTAGACAAGTATGTATTTAAAGAAAATAAAATAATTTCTATAAAATTCTATTACAAATTATCTATTTTATTTTCAATAAAACTCTATCAACAGAGTTTCTATCAAATTCTAACACAAATTACCTATTTATCGAGTTTTTTAATAAAAGGAAACTTAATTAGACAAGTATTATTAATATTAAAAATTATTTTTTAACTGATACAAAAAGTGGATTTAAAAGAGTTTTTAAAAAACTCTAACACAAATAACATATTTCTCTATTTATTATGAGTTTTTTAATAAAATTAAATATAATTAGACAAGAATTATTAAAATAAAAAATATTTATTAATTGATATAAAAAGAGTTTTTAAAAGAGTTTATATTAAGCTTTAATACAAATAACCTATTTATTTATTATAAGTATTTTAATAAAAGAAAATCAAATTAGAAAAGAATTATTAATATAAAAAATATTTTTAATTGATATAAAAAATAAAATAATTTTTCTAAAACTATACCACAAATTACCTTTTATTATCAATTTTTTTTAATAAAAGCTAATCTAATTAGATAGGAATTATTAAAATTTAAAAATATTTATTAATTCATATAAATAGAGTTTAAAAATATTTTCTCTAACACTCTAACACGTATTACATATTACAATTTTTTAATAAAAGAAAATATAATTTTCAGAGTAAAATACAGAATCTCTACCAAAGTGTTTCCGTATTTATTTATTTATATAAAAAAATATTTATTAATAGATATAAAAAAAAAATTTCTATACTGCTATTAAATGTGCAAAGAGTTTCAATATTTAAGTATCTATTTATATAAAAATATATTTATTACTTGATATGAAAAGTGTTTCTCTAAAAAAAAAAAAAAAAAAAAACTCTATCAAACTTCAAAATCTGTCTAATAAAATTTAAATTAACCTATTTATCTATTTATTATTATGAATTTTTAAATAAAAGAAAAATTGAATTAGACAAGAATTATTAATATAAAAAATATTTATTAATTGATGTATAAAATAAAATAATTTTTCGAAAACTCTACCACAAATTAACTTTTATTATGAGTTTCTTAATAAAATTAAATTTAATTAGACAAGGATATATTTAAAGAAAATAAAATATTAAATGTGCAAAGAGTTTAAGTATTTCAGTATTTATTTATTTATATAAAAAAATATTTATTAATTGATATGAAAAGAGTTTTTATAAATAAAAAAAATAAA